GTCTCTTCCCCTCACATGCTAAGGTTACAGGGGTATGGGGTCATGCCTGGCTTTGGGGAACTTCAATGCAAGTCCTAACGCTTGAGCAGAAAGAACGCTTTACCCACTGCACATCTCCCAAGTCCTCTTCTGTGATTTTTCAAAGTAGGAACCAGCAAGTAGATAGAGGAACTTGGCATATAATAAAAGATGTTGTTTCAAACCAGTAGAGAGAGGATGGGTGTTTTAATAGTTCTTGAATGACTAGATAGCTGGTGGAGGAGAGGGGGAATTGGACTTTTATTTTACTTTTTATTTCCCAATAAATGTCAAATGCAAGAAAAATCAGAACATTAAAAAGAGAAAAAGAGGCCTTTAAAATATCTAAAATTGCAAGAGAAGAAACATTTTAGGAGAAAGCCAAGTGCTTCATAAGTCTAGAAGACAGAATGTGAAGAAAGCAGGACTGTAAGATGGTTTTCCAGGTTCTTCAGGGAATACGAATATAAAAGGGGGAGGACATTAAAATTCTGAGAAAATGGCCGAGACACTCATGAAAAGCAGAGCTGGGATTTCCTACCTTTGCCAATCCACAGGTCAGAGTCTCCGCAAGAAAACACCAGCACTCATGGAAAACCCGTCATGCCAGAAAGGATGCTGGACCTCGCGCCTAACAACCTGAGCTCACAGGAAGAAATACCACAGGTAACCTGCCTGATATGTTAACTGAAACTAATCATGTGCTATGTGAGCAGAGCCGGGTACCAAGATACTGGCAGCCATACTGGATAATGCCATCCAGAATATCATTCTGAAAGAGCTACTTTTGGCATTGTCCACCAAAACACAAATGCCTTGCCCCTTTGGATTGGCAGTTCTATTTCTAAGAATCTACCTTACTTAGACAAGTATATAAAATGTCAAAGCAAGTCTGCTGCCTCTGGACTACACAAACTACAGGGCCTATGTATGAGTGAGTGGCAAGAAATCACAGAAATGAGGACACACGCACACATACACAAGGGACTATTATATAGCTGTAAAAACAACCACGTAACTGAATGCAGGCAGTACTACACCCTGGAATGGTTTCTTGCACTGAATAAACAGAGAAGGAATATTAGGAACCAGCATTTATTTATGCCTGCTCTATGACCAAGAATACAATGTGACTAGCTGCTGCCACCCTGGCCATGATAGGCTGTACCTTCAAATCACAAGCCAGACCAGATCCTTCCTCCCTTAAAAAAATGATCAAGGACCTCTGTTACATAACCATGAGATTACTGCTAAACTATAGCAAGTACGTCTTTTAAAAATCTCAGTGGCGAAGTGTGCACAGCATCTACGCTACTTTTACTGGTGTTCAAACACCCAAAAGAAAAGAAACGCAGAGAGGAGAGGCTTCACTTGGGCTCATTGTTTGAGGAAATGAAGCCCATCATGGTGGGAAGTGGCTGGGAGGAGGCAGCTTCTTGGTGGCAGGAGCAGGTGGCTCATATTTGCCACATCTTAGGGGAACAGGAAGCAGAGAACCAAGAAGAAGCTGATCAGGGCTATAAACTACAGGGCCCACCCCACAGTGACCCACTTCTAGCCACACTGTACCTCGCCAAGCAGCTGCGGAGCAAGTGTGCAGCCACAGGAGGCTGTGGGAACCGTTCCATGCTCAAACCGTAGCGCATTATCTGCTGTGTTTATGAAAAAGGGGCCATCTGTGTTTGCACACTATCCTAACATCAGAAAGAACAGCAGTGCTTAGCAAAGCCGAGTCACTTTTTGTACGATTCTTCAATTTCTTTTAATATTTTTACTACTGTGCGCTTGTGTGCGTGTACGTGTGTGCATGTATGTGTGTGTGCGTGTGTATGTGTGTGTGTGTGAACATGTCTAAATACCAGGGCAAAAGTGTGGCCATCAAATACTAAGTTGCGGAAGTCAGGTCTCTCCTCCTACCACGAGGCTCCCAGGTATCAAACTCTGCTAGTCAGGCTTCGATGCAGGTACCTGTAGCTGCTGGGCCATCTCCCTTGTCCCTACTTCAATTTGTCTTTCTGAAAGCATGAATGCTATTTTTGTCTGTACATAGAGATAGTTGTGATAAGAAAAAGGAAAAGGCCAAAAGAACTCCAGGGAATCTATTATTCTTTAGACTTTACTTGGACCAAAGTTCTATTTTGTTCTTAATGCTAGACAAGATGGTCAGTTACTGCATGATCAATTGACATGAAAATGTCTCTGAGTGCAGTCCCAGGCAGGTGAGCTGGTATAGCTAGAGGCTGAGTCAGGGACATGGCTGGCAACTGCCAATGGGCATGGGGTTTCTTTCCTCTTGATGTGATGGAAGTATCCTAGGGATGGACAATGGTGGCAATTGCACAAATATGAGAATATACTGAAAAGCACTTAGCTTTATATTTACATGGGGAGCTATAGGCATATGAATTCCAACCTGCACCTGATATTATAACCCAAGGTATCTAATACTCCTGGACCCTTTGGCCTAGGAGGGATCTGACAGATGTGAATAGATATTCTACCTCGTGACTTTGGGAAGCTTCCATAGCAACTGCAAGCATTTCCAGGAGAAATGACGCTGCAAAGTCACTCACACTGCTAAAAAGACCCAGGCAAACCTCAACGTATTGACCAAGGTCACAATTGGTCCCATCATGCTCTGGGTACCAAGCCCAACCCATGCCTAGCTGGGGGTTAGCTACCCTAACTGCTGCTGACTTTTATGTATCTCCTTCCTGTGCAGAGGCACTTCCGGCCAGTGTCAGAGGTCCCTCTCGAGTAACTGGCCCTCTTTCCTTCTCCTCTTTTGTGCAGGGAACCAAAGTGGCTACTGGACACCAGTTGTGAGCACAATTGTGCTCTCCTGAGAATCAGGGCCTACACTGTACTGGATGGGCCCTGAGACTGCTTTGTAGGCCATTCCTAAGTTCCTAAGTGTCATTCTAGGTCTGTGGCTGGGCTGTAGGTGGATGAAGATATCAACACTGGGGAGAAGCTGCATGCATGTGTGTGTGTGCGCATGTGTGTGCATATGTGTGTGTACTCCAGTGTGTCCGTGTAGTGCTGTGGATGGAACCCGGGGCAATGGGCATGCCTAGCAATGTTCCACCACTGGGCCACACCTAAGGTCATTGCACTTTTGAGTCCTTCAGAAGTCCAATGGCGATTCTTGACCCTGGATTCCAACACTAGACTCACATTTCTGGGCCTCTTTACTTTAGCTGGTGGGTAGAGGTCTCTCCTACCTTTCCCTACTTTGGCAATAGACTTTTGCCATGTTTTATCTTCCCAGAGAGCGGCTGGTAAGTTCTGCAAGGTTCAGGGTGTTTAGCTTCACTTTGCAGTAAGCAGTGTGTCCGAGCAGCACTACCTTCTTACTTATTCTTGTTGCAACCTCATCCCCGCGCGCTCTAATGGCTCACACATTCCTGGAAGCTCGTCCATGGAGCTGATTGACTTGGCCACTCAGTACTACTTTCTTAGGCTGCCATGATGGCGCTGGCTAGCTTGTCCGTGAACTTGCTCATTTGACAATCATTCTAGCACCTAAGCACTGGCTGGCTGTGCCTGAAGGCTATACACAACTGAGTCCAGGCACATCAGGCCCTCAGGGCTAGCTGGCTTTAGATAATCAGACGGCAGGTCACATTGTTCAGTAACTGCTCCTTGACCAACTCAAACTTTCTCCTTAGGGCTGCTACAGCCTGGGACTAACGTTTGCATTAATTTTCTTAGCCCAGGGAGTCGGGTACCCCAGGGAGACGCTGCATTCACCTGCCTGTGGCATAGGCTTGGGGCTGGATTTCTCGTGGGTGGCTACTTTCTCCCTTATCCAAAGGCTCTGCTTATTGGCCTGGGTCTGGCTTTCAGCACCCTGCTTTATGGAGATCCCTGCATAGGTGGGAGAGGCCAAGCTGACTGCCCTTTCCCATCTCAGTCCTACCCGCCAGGCCACCCAAGTACAGCCCCCAGCACCATCTGTATACGGGCAGGCAGTAGCTATTTCCCACTCTTGTTGCTCCTCAGACATACATTTCTCTGCAATTCTATTTCGGGTTCTATTCTGGCTACTCTAGTCATGTGTTGGGGTTTAGAAGAGACATACATAGATCTAATCTACATGGGAAGTAGAAAAAGACAAGATCTCCTGAGTAAACTGGGAGCGTGGGGACCCTGAGGGAGGGTTGAAGGGGAGGGGAGAGGCAGGGAGGGGAGCAGAGAAAAGTGTAGAGCTCAATAACAATCAATAAAAAAGGACTAATTCAGTCAACTGTTAACTAAAACCCTTTTGATAGAGAGTATATATGTGTTCATTGTATTTTCATAAATGCTGTGAAATGTGGAGAGAGTGACGGGCTTCTGTGCTAGGCAAAGCCTAAGGCCTATTTAGTGGCTCATTTATAGGATAGAGTGTTATATAATTAAAAGCAAGCTTCCTGGGGAAAGGGATATAGCTCAATGGTACTTGCTTACCATCTATGAGGCATTGAGTACTATCTGTCTTCAGCAACACACATACACACACACACACACACACACACACACACACACACAGAGAGAGAGAGAGAGAGAGAGAGAGAGAGAGAGAGAGAGAGAGAGAGAGAGCACTTTTATAAAATGTTCTTCATGTAGTTTTGTGTGGTGTGTACACATACATGGAGGTCCCAGGCTAATGTCAGAAATGTTCCTTGAGTGTTCTTTTATCTTCTTCATTGAGGCAGTGTCTCTCAATTCAAGCCCAAGCCAGTCAGACAGCTCTGGGGATTCCCCTCTCTCTGCATTCCGAGGCTGAACTCAGAGGCAGATCATTAAACACACCCAGCATTTATGTAAGTTCTGCAGAGTCAACTCCAGCCGTCAAGCTTGCAGGGCAATAGCTTAAAGCAGCGAACTATGTCTCCAGGACACAAAGCAGGCCTTCTAACTTAAGACACAGAGAAATACAGAAAGCAGGGAAGCAGCAGGTTGAGACAGAAATCTGCATGGCATCGCTTGCGTGGTACCTTTTGGCTCCTCCAGCATCGGGGGAAACAATAATACAGTTTCTCCATTCAGTGATGTTCTCCCGAATCCATTGAAGAACTGCAGGCTCTGCATATAAATTATCCACAGGGATATCAAAGAATCCCTAAGGAGAGAAATCAATGTCACTTTGCAGGCTTGTTTTCGGATTGAGTATGAGGTTTATTAGAGTACATGGTTGGTGGTGTCAGTGGTTCAGCACAGTGGAAACCCTCAGGAGTACAGGGCCTATCTCATGTCTAAGGGACCATGACTGGAGATGTATCTGGCCCACATTCACTGGGGAAAAGCTGCTTCTCAGCTACTATGCCTTCCAACTCATCTGCATTAAACTTGGTGAAGTCTCAATTCTTTGAGATGTGGATTTTCTGGCAGTCAGGGGACCTTGAACTTGATTGTGCAGGGTCTCAATCACGTTCCTTTTTCTGCAGGTTTGTACAGATCAACATGATGGCCTGGCTACTGTGCTCTGGAGCTTCTCAAGCGTGCTCCATATACCTATCTGAAGTCTAAACTAGAGACAGCATGAGAAAAGAGACACGACTATCTAGCAGAAAATTCTGTTTCTGTGGTCTCTTAGAGAAACCCATACAAGCAGCGTCCCAAGTAGGCTGCTATTTGCTGCTACTGCACACCAGGCCCCAGGAGGAAAGGAACATAGGCAGCATAATTGGATAAAGGTTTTTTAAAAGAAAAAAAAAGATTTTTTTAAAAAGATAACTGCTATCTCTAAATCATATTTGAATTACTTATCCAAATGTTACCTTTATATAACTCTCTCCCTTTGGCTAATTGTAACAGAATTAAATCTAACGGTAGAGATGTTACAAGCCATCTTTTGGTCCATCCCTTTTCTGGGCATGCTCCGATATTTATGTGATGGTCAGTGCACCAAGGGAAAGAACAGCACTGCAGGGCAGAGGGGAAAGCAGGTGGCTTTTTGTCATTGCTGTAGTCCTAGCACTTACCACAAATCAAATACTTCACAGTCATTACATACCATAAGCAGGCACTGTGAAATGTGACCTGTTTTAATGATAGAAGAAGGAAGGTATGAAGAACTTAAAAATGTGTATGGCAGGACTGGGGAGATGGCTCAGAGCGTAGATGTGTAAAGTACTTGTTGTACAAGCATCATGTCCTGAATTGGAATCCCCAGAAACCATAAAACAGCTGGCCATGATAGTGCATATCCTATAGCAGCAGTGCTGGGGAAGCAGAGGCGGGAAGAGCCCTGGAGCTCATTGGTTAGCCAATCTATCAGAATTGATGAGCTCTGGGTCCAGTGAAAGATCCCGTCATAAAAAACAAGATGGAGAGTGATAGCAGAGAACATCCGGTGTTGACCCCTTGCCTTCATGTGTATGCACACACAAGTGCACACAAATACACACAGTGCATACTACAGTGCTATCATTTTAACTATCTTACAGATGTTTAGGTGGAATCGCAAAGCACATGAAAGGTATTCCTTGCTCCTCCAAAAGGAGTTGGAGGAAAGGTGTGACAGGGATGGCAGCAAAAACAGGAAAGACAAACAGCCCAGAGAATAGCTGTGCAAACTCTTAAACCTTTCAAAATTAAGTACAGAGAACTAGGACCTGACCATGGGCAGAAAGACAATGCTGGTACCTGGATCTGAGAGGCATGCAGGTCCATGGTGATGATGTGATCGGCCCCAGCAACTGACAGCATGTTGGCCACAAGTTTAGCAGAAATTGGAGCACGACTCTAAAAAATAGAAACAGGGATTTAATATCAGACAAAGATGGAAACTGTTAGAGTCCTTTTGCAAAGATATTCATGAGGAAACCAAATGGGTGGTTTGGCATGGATGTAACCAAGGAGAATTACAAGCTATGATAACAAAAGATACATTTAACACATTGCATTTGGTTACTAAATATTGACCATTGGTTGCCACTGTTGGTTTTTGAGCCTGGATCTTATATAGCCCAGGTTGATCTCCAGCTCACTAATGCAAGCAAGGATGACCACGATCTAGGCATGTGCTACCATGCTCAGTTTCTGTGGTTGTGGGGCTGGGACCCAAGGTTTCCTGTATCCTGGGCAAGCACTCTACCATCTAAACTACATCTCCGGCCTTCTGTATCCTACTATGAGGCTATGCACCTGACACTACAGTAGAATACAAATATCTAAGGAATAAAGTCAAACTGAATATACTTGACATTACAGTTTCTATAATTCAAATAGTAAGGAAGCATGAGGAGGTTCAACAAGACGGCTTAAGAGATCACTTTAAAGGGAAGGCCAGCCAGTGCTAGGCTAAGAGTGTTCTAGAAGGAAACAACGAAATATATGAAGTCTCCCAAGCCAAAACACCATCAAAGAGCTTATCCAAGGCCCCAAAGTCCAGTTATGAAAGAAGTACCATGCCCTGAGAGATGAAAGCTAACCCTACTACAAATTCAGCAGCAACAACAACAACAAACAAAAAACACTTATAGGCACTTGAGAACTCAACGTTCAGAGAAACAAGTTCATTGTCATCACTGTCCTTATGCCTTTTCTAAAGTTATCTAACTTCTTTATAGCTTTTGTTTCCACATCATAAATCATTGGCAATAAAAATGCCCACATCAAAGCCACCAAAGAGTCCACACAGTTATCACTAGACATAGTCCAGACATGATGTAGGTGGAGATAGTTATTAATAGCATTGCATGCCCATAAACAAGCCACACACAAAAATACAACCTGAAAATTATATGAAAATGTTAATAATATGTTTATTTCCTTTCAAACACAATCCTGTTGTTTCAAAAAGAACTACATATCCCCTTATAATAAAATATATCTATAAAATGTATATATTTATAAGTATAATCAATAAAATTAATAGTATACAATCAACATTATTAATATATAAACATACTCATTTATATATTAATTTTACATTAATTACACACACATAAGGAATCGGAGGAAATACCCCTAACATTACCAACAGATTTTCTGGAAACGATGGGGATGGCTTTCCTGTTTTTCCTTTTCTGAGACAGACTCTGTAAGATCCCTAGATGTACTGGAGTATGCTTTGTACAACCAGCTGGCCTCGAACTAACAGAAATCCACCTGAAGCTGCCTCCAGAGTGCTGAGGTTAGAGGGGCAGTGCTTTTCTTTAAAGTTTTTAAAATTAATTTTAGGTGTGTGGCTTTTTTGCCTGTATGTATGCATGCAGTGCCCTCAGAGGCCAAAAGAGGGTGTTCGATTCCCTGGAACTAGAGTTCCAGATGCCCGTGAACCACCATGTGTGTGCTGGGAACTGAAAGAAAGGACTTCCGGAACAGCAGCCTGTGCTGGTTATCACGAACTCATCTATCCAGCATCTCTTTTCCTTATTTTCAAAAGGTGGGTTTTGTTTTGGTTTAGTCTTCTCTATACTAACTATTCATCATTACTTACATTCTCTTTTTCTTGTTTTTTTTTTTTTTTTAACTCTTCTGTATGGTATTCCATGTTGCCTTTGGGAAAGAATCAAATTTTCTCAGTTTTAATATCCAAAGGACTGAGGTCAGTCTGGCTGTAGCTAACTCCAAACTGCTCTCCCTTGCCTCTGCTCCTGTGCCCTTCCCTGTTTGCTCTAGAGAATGCCATGTCTTGTCTCACATATTCAACTGCCCCTTCTCACCCCAGATCTATACCTGTGTGACTGATCCTTCAAGGCCTGGCTCAAATATTGCAATTTAAAGTACCTATAAGAACTTCGGAAATAATCCCTCTCTTCTAAGGTGAAACTTAGTTGACCAAGAAACTTTGACTATATAGCCCAAGGACCTAGGGTGAAACCAAATAATACTGGTATAAAAATTGAAGACTGTGTAGTGATTAAAATAACTCGTAATGACATTCTGCTATACTCATAGATCACTGCCTTGCTCAGCCGTCATCAGAGATGCTTCCTCCTACAGCAGATGGGAACAAATACAGAGACCCACAGGCAGATAATATGCCAAGAGGGAGACACCTTGAAACACTGAACCCTAAATGCAACGCCTCCATCAAATCTGTCCCTTTAGAGCTCAGGGAACCCTGTGGAAGAGGGGGTAGAAAGAGTGTAGGAGTCAGAGGAGACACCAAGAAAACAAGACCCTTTAAGTCAACATGAGCAAAGCTCCTATGAATTCGCAGAGACCTAAGCAGCGATTATAGGGCCAACGTGGGTCTGTACCACGTCCTCAGTGTATATATTACAGCTTCCAAGGGAACTTCCAAAAGAAATCATTTAATTGGAAGATTACTAGCAATTTCAGAGGTGAATCTAAGACCATCACGGTGAGGAGCACGGTAGCAGGTGGGAGGCGTGGTACTAGAGCAGTGCTGAGAGCTTGCCTTACCCACAACCAGGAGGTGTGGAGAGAGACTGGGCCTGGCCTGATGTGGGCTTTTAAAACATCAAAGTCCACACTCAGTGACACACCTCCTGCTCCAAGGCCACATTTCCCAATCCTTTCCCAACAGTTCCACCAAGTGCAGACCAAGAATTCAGACATAAGAGCCTACAGGGGCCATTCTTATTTAAGTCATCACAAGTCTACAGAGAGAAAAATCAGTGTGGCATTTAAAGAGCAGGTAAAGAAAGCGCTTACCTTGCAAATGTGAGTATCTGAGTTCAAGCCCCAGAGTCCACATCAAAAGGCTGTGGTGTGGTGACAAGTGCTTCCAATCCCTGTGCTGGGGAGGTGGAGACTGACATATACCCTGCGACTCACTGGCCGTCCTAGCATACCTGACAAGTTTTAGGCTGCTGAGAAACCTCATCGAAACAAAAACAAACAAACCCCCAAAGACAGACAGCACTGAACACCAGAAGAATGACGTCTGAGCTTGTGTTTTTTTTCATGCACACAGATGTATACAGGACTCGTGCACATACGTGTTCCCCCAAAGACAAACACACACATGTATGCAGACTCCAAGATTCCAGAGACTTGTGTCGATCACTTTATCATTGAAATATGAAGCTGACCTTACAAATTATTTGGAAAAAAGAAGAAAAAAATCCAAGTTGACAGCCCTTTACTCTCTCAGAAGTAATTATCCCCTGCCCGGCTCACAACCTGCTGTTCTCTCAAAAGCAGAAAACCAGTAATTACTGAGTGTCTCCTACAAGAGCCAGCAAACGTCAGCTCACAGGCTAGACTTGCCTGATGCCTTGGTTGGGGCTAGGGATGGTCTCCACACTTAGAAAAGCACTGGAAAACAGTCAAAAATAAGATTTTGTAGCATTTGAATGTGACATAAAATCCAGACTTTACCAGGCATACATAAAGTACTTTGGAACACAGTCGCACCCGTTTATTTGCATATTGGCTATGTCAGTTTCTGCACTAAAATAGAAGTTGAGCTGTCACAAGAACCATTCGAATCTCAACACAGCCCTGAATCTCAACACTTGGTTTTTTTTTCTGAAAGCTCGTCTGCTTGTGTACGATAGGCCAGGATCTTCATCCATAGTAGCTAAGATGGTCCTTAGCATACAGGTGAGGGCCTGAAGTTGCAGAGTGTAAGTGACCTTCAGAAAGGGAAAACTGGTGTTGGAATTCAAAGCTGAGCTGGTTCACTGCTAAACTGGCAAGTCTAGGACTTACGTCATGCCTTTGACAATGACTATGACATCATTGCCGTTTTCCTGTGGGAATATTCCATTGTCTTAAGTGGTCATTTATGAAACAGTTTCTTTCCTGCGAGAAGCTGCCCTTAGGTTCTGGTGCTTAGAAATCAAAGCTAAATAAACTGTTCCACATACACAGGACGAAGGGTCAAAATACACGAAACAAGTTTGGAAGATGGTTTAAAACCCCAAGATTTTCTGGGCATTTCCAGCAAGTACTTCTTGGTAGAAGCAATTACACAGAATTTCTCTGTGCCGTTAGAGGTTATGGGCAATGCAGTCCCAAAGGAAGAGAAAAAAACAAAAAACAATAGGCGGCCTGGGAGGGCTGCCCAGAGCTCCTCCCATAGCCAACAAGAATGTTCTGTTTCGGGCCAGAGATTAAGTGTAGCATATGGCTTTCTGCGATATTCAAACACCACCTGGCTTTCTGCCTCCTTAAGTGAAAAAAAAAATAGAAGTACCTTCCTTCATCCCAAATCATGGTTGGTGTCCTCACGGTTCCTAGACACTGGGAAACGGCTACAGTAGGCTAAGAAAGGAAGTACAGTACTAGGTTCTAGTCGTTTCTTATTTTTCCTTCTAAATCTTCATTGCCATCACCCAGCAGCTTCCCACCAGCATGCTAGGCTGCATGGTTCAAGGGAAGAAGTGAATTGTGAGAACTTTCCAGAATGCCAGGGGTACAGCTTGAATGGCGGGTTGACCGATGAAACCGAACGGGAGAATGAGTTTCCTCACTGTTGTTTGGGTCATACTGACTACACAGACCCATCCGAAGTCATGGATGGAGGTTCCAGCCAGGGAGCTCAGTGGATGAAGGAGCTTGCTCTGCGAGCCTGAGCCGGACCCACAGAAAGGTGGAAGGAGAAAACAGACTCCACCAAGGTGCCCTCTGACCTCCACATGTGTGGCATGGGGCACACCCATGCACACACACACAGACACACACAAAGACACACATACACACTAAAAAAGTAAGATTAAAAGTAAAAGAAGCCATGGCCCCAGAACAGTCCACGGGTCCTGGCCTCCTTACAGGTCCCTTTAGCTTACATAGCTATATAAGAGTGGCCATGAATCAGACTTGCTGAGAACAGTGCGAAGAGTAGATACTTGGTTCCAGCAAAATCATCCTTGGCTGGTCTTTTAAATCGCTGGAGCAGTGGTTCTCAACCTGTGGGTCCTGACTCCCTGGGGCCAAATGATCCTTTCACAGGGGTCACTGAGACCATCCTGCATATCAGATATCTATATTATGATTTATAACTGTAGCAACATGACAGTTATGAAGCAGCAGTGAAAATAATTTTATGGTTAGGGGGTCACCACAATGTGAGGAGCTGTATTAAAGGGTCACAGCATTAGGAAGGTTGAGAACCCCTGCTCTAGAGTGTCCTGCGGGAAGTGATCAATGATAGGAAACCTACACTATGTCAAAGCGTAACTAAGCCCGAGAAATGTTCACCCCATCCATCAACGACTGCATGTACTACTCATCGGCGCAGCTGCAATGTTGGTGCCTGGTTTGGGACTGTTGAGCTTCAGAGTTAGAAGAGAAGACACTGCTGCTTTCTAAAGCCATTCCCGTTTGCAGTAATCTGTTGCAGGGGTGCTAAAAAAAATACAACACCGCTCTGGTTGCTTCCCTACCAGAAAGTGTCAGTTTCCTGAGCTGCACCCAGTGTTTCTCCAATGTCATCATATCCTCCCCTCTGAATGATGGTCTTATTTGCCACTAGGTTTGGAAAGGCATGGGACACATGTTCAAAAAGGATCCCATATAGAAAACATATCTAAACATCTAACAGCAGGGAAACTGGTGGATAGCTGGTCATACAATGCAGTTCTGAGAAACAGAGCCACTGGGGGCGAGAGAAGATGGGGTGAGATGATTCGGTTGGTAAGGGTGCTTGTCACTAAACCTGATGACATATGTTCGTTTCATGCCTGGTACTCACATGCTGGAAAAGACAAAGCCTTCCCAGGTGTACCCAAACACTCAAAGACCCCCACCCCCACCCCCACACTAAATGTAATAAAAACGTAACAAATAAAGTTCCTGATGTTTTGAGAAACCCATCGAGTTCTTTTTGTAGGCACAGCAGATGCCATCTGTCAGGGGACAGAGACCAAAAGACCAACAGATTTTCTGCAATGCAAGGGGCAGAGCTAGTTTATCTATCAAAGAACTGGGAATAAAAACAAGAAAAGAAATGAGCAAATACGACTTTCGAAAATGTTACCATGTATCAGTGATGTCAACAGCCACCACCAAATGTGTCCCAATATTTGTGTTCCTTAAAGAAGAATCTGCAGTTCCAACAAATGCCACCCTTTTCCCCCCAAGCTGACAGGCCACCTGTAAGGAAAACAATTTACTGAAGACACAATGTAATTTTATCTTCTGCGTGAAAAACAAAATATAAAACCTACAAGAAATACACTTGATTCAAATTAATCATACCAGCAAACCCCTTGCCAATCCGTTTCATTTGGGTTGCTGTAATAAAACAAAGAGAACTTAAAGAAAAAGGGGCTGAATTGCCTCCTGATTCTAGGATACAGCTCATCATCCTGGGAAACACGAGGGGGAAGGGACTTCAAGCAGCTAGTCACATCCACAGTCGGGAACAGAGAGAATGAATGCATAAACGCTTATCCTCAGCTCGCATTTCTTTTATTCAAGCCAGAACCCAAGCCAGAGAGGGCTGGTGTTGCCCATTTTCTCCCTGGGTCTTCCGACATGAATTCCTGATAATTTGCAAAGACAAGCCCAGAACAGAACCCGACCAAGCCAATCCCTCATGAGGTTTTTCTTCTCTCAGGTGATTCTGGGCTGTGTCACATTGACAAATAAAATTAACCATCTCAGTGAGCAACTTCCTCCAAGAGTGTGTTATGAAAAGAAAGAAGCTGGTCCATTCCTACTCTCTTCTTCCTTGCTCACACATATCCCTTCTACACGTGGCTAGCTCTTTTCTCTGCCACATTGTAAACACCTGGCAGGATGCTAGAGTCGAGTTTGGCTTTTCCAGCTCTGCTAAATAAACCCCTTTATTTTATAAGTCATTCAGCATAAATCCTTTAGTCTCAGTAACATAAAAGTCAGTGTAAAGTTCCGCAGTACCCTAATGCAGTGTGGCTTGTAGACGGAACCTAACCTGCTACATGTTTGCCACTGCTTGTGAGCTCTTAAGTTTAACTGAGTAGGGGGAAATGAAAATAGTACTTTATGGCGTATGAAATAGAGAGTCAGATGTGTCCATAAATAAATGTGGATTCTGATTTGTTTTACAGTTTCACACACGCATGCATGCCACAGTGACCACTGTCATCTTGAACCTACCCTGCCACGTCTGTCCATCCTCCTCCTCCCCCTATACCTGCCAGTTATATATGGTCCTCTAGCTCTGTTTGCGAGATACACAGTTGGGGAGGTGCAATAAAAATGAGCCGTTTATAGAAGAAACTGGCTGACTCTTTCTATCCATATACACTAAATCGTATCTTGAGTGCTGAGTGGACTTCTTCATGTCACATTTTAGTGAAACCCGGAGTGACTGCCTGGGTGCGGCACATACTCTGGAAACTGGTCCTGAAGATGCTGGGATTAAAATTCAAGGAGATCTTAGGACATGGACTCATGTTTATACAGGTTATTTTGCTTTTCGAATCTAGGGGAATCTTGAGTGCTCTTCTGAAACAAGAGCTTCAAGTAATCACTGTTGTAAAGTGAATGCTGTCATCCCAAATTCATACCTGCCTACAAGTCTGGAATGGGATCTCACTGTAGAAAGGTGCTATTGTGTAAAGATATGGAGATGTGGTCATTTTGGATAAGAGTGGCCCAAATCCGATTATAGTGTCCTAATATAGGATAGAAGTGTGTTGTAAGTGTGTTGTTAGTTCCCGGCTGCTCAGCCCCAAAATAATTACTCAGAAAACATAGTATTTGTAATTCTGTTTGGCCAATAGCTTAAGCATATTTCTGGCTAATATTTTAATTTAACCCATTTCTAGTAATCTGTGTATTGCCACATGGCTGTGGCTTACTGGGTAAAGTTCCGTCTGGTTCCAGCGGGTGCATGGCTTCTCTGACTCCGCCTCCTTTCTTCCAGCATTCAGTTTAGTTTTCCCTACCTAGCTCTACTCTACCCTATCACAGATCTAAGACAATTTATTAACCAATGGTATTCACAGCATACAGAGGGGAATCCCACATCAAAAGTGGAGACACAGAACTTAAGAAGCCATGTCATAGAAGACAGAAGCAGAGACTGAAAGAGTATAGCCAGAATGAAGGGATATCTGAAGCCCCTAGGAGCTGGGCAAGGCAGGGAAGATTTTTCCCTAGGGTCTTAGAGGAAGCTGGAAGAAATTACAAAGAATTGAATGGAGACCTCCAAAAAGATAGGTTCATGTCCTGAGCACCAGAACCTACTAATGCCTCTTGGAAGTAGCATCTCTGCAAATGGAATTAGTGAAGGATCATGAGATGCGATCACCCTGAATAAGGATGGCCTTAAATTTAGTGACAGTGTCTTGAAGACAAAGGCAGAGATTGAAACAATGGGGCCATGGGCCAAGAGAAGCCTGAGTGTCTGGGGACTTGGAAGAGTCAGGAAGGATTCTCCCCTAGAATAAGCATGGCACTGACATCCTTCGACCTCAGACATCTGGTCTATGAACTAAAGAATAATTGCCTGTTCTGTAAATCTGCCCAGCTCCTGGTAATTTATGATAGTGACCCTAACCAACCAAGAGAAGCTCCTTCAATGTTTGCTTCAATTCCAACTTTTCTCATGTTTCATAAAGCTTAAGAACAACTATATTTTCTCCAACTTCTCCTGCAAACTTACAGAGCCTCTACTAATGGGTAAGGAAACGGTGGTGAGCACAGCAGGTTTCTAGGGCAAGACACACCTCGCCTACCTTGTCCTTTTTATCTTGCCGGGCGTATGGGAAGCAGGGTATCACAGCAGTTACCCTGGATGAGGATGCAATCTTGCACGCGTTGATCATGATGAGCAGCTCCATCAGGTTGTCGTTAATTTCCCCACAGCCGCTCTGGATGATATAGACATCTTCCCCTCTCACACTTTCGCCAATCTCAACGCTACAAAAGAACAACGCCATCTTAGTTTTCTTTGCCTGTTGTTGTTTAAAAACACTCTAGAGAAGTGACAGTGTGTGTGTGGGAGGCACTTATTTCGACTCACATTTCAAGGTACATCCCATAATGGCTGGGGAGTTAAAGCGGCGGGACCTCAAAGCAGCTGTGCACATTGCACTCTCGGTTGGAAAGCAGAGACTATGAACTTAGGTTGTTTTTCAGCTCCCTTCCCACTCACAGAGTTTAGGGTCCAGTCCGGGGAATGGGGCTACACACAGTGGATGGGCCTTTCTGCATCCATGAACACAATTAAGATAATAATTTCCCACAGGCTGGCTCACAGGCCCATCTCCCAGGTGACCCAAGGTTCTGTCAAGTTGACAATTAACAATAAGCCATCGTGACATTGGGTAATATCAAGGTTCTATGACTCCCTGAGACCACCTCCAACTTCAGCAATCCAGCAGGTCCAATCATGGGACTCAGCACAGAGTCACAATCCTGCCTGTGACTTATGAGATGGCTTGAACACAGGACAAAATCAGCAAAGGGAAAAGTACACCAGGCAATCTCGGTGGGAACTTACAAGCATTCTTCCCGAGGGGAGTCACAGAAGTCCACCTCAAAGTGTCCAGTAGCGAGCTGTGACAAGTGGCAAGTGTTACCTTCTAGGGTAGACACAGAGACTTAGGGCCCAGGCTTTGTATTGGAAGCTGAACGGTGTAGTCACCCACTGCCTAGTGCATACCAAAATGCTAGCTTTGCAACAGGCTGGTGGGAGCTCAGTGTAAGCCACATTGTTTTCTGGCCATTAATAGTTCACACACAACAGGCTATTCTTATGAAAGAATGGTGTGGGAATCCCTGTGAGAGCTAAGTTCCCATAGGCCAGTCAAGAGCTGACCGTACAAAGAACCTTTCTAAGTTCTAGGCCTTCTCTGTTAATTCCTTGTGGTAATTCTTCTGTTATTAAAGTTAAGCATGGATATTGTCTTAAAAATTCAAATCATGGGAGCTGGGGAGATGACTCATTTGGTAATGTGTCTTCCAGCACATGCATAGAGGGCCTGAGTTTGGCTCCCCAAAACCAACCTTTTAAAAAAAAAAGGCCAGGTGCAATGGCCTCCTTAACCCCAGCTCTGGGAGAGCAGAGACAGCAGATCCCTGGAACTCATTGGCTGACCAGCCAGCCAGCTGAATAAATGAGCTCCAGGTTGAGTGAGAGTCCTGTCTCAAAAAGTAAAGCAGAGATGGATGGAGGAAGACATCTGGTACTGACCTCTGACCTCTACATGTACATGACCAAAGAAGCATGTATACATACCACATGCACACAATCAAATCATGATCAAAGTGTGCTAGTTCAGCCTGTAATCTCAGTACTCAGGAGGCTGAGATAAGAGGATTCCTGAGTTCCAGGCGCTCTCTCTCTCTCTCTCTCTCTCTCTCTCTCTCTCAGCAGCCTGGAGACAACCAATTTCAATCTTTGATGGCTTTTTAGAGAGAGATTTATTTTCAATTCTCCAGCTACCATGAGAGACTTGAGTTGATTTTTCCTGAGGTGTCCATCAGGTATTGACTTCTCACTACGGAAGACGAGAGTTTAACATCTATCTCTTCCTCTCTGCTCCACGACACGGATGGATTCTTCCGACCTCATCATCATGGCAATACAGATCAGTATTCAAGCTAAAGATTGCCTGCTGCATTTGAACTCTCCATGATGATCAGAGCTGAGCTGTGAAGTAAACTAAAACCAACATTTGTATTTTTCATTCACGCACAAGCTTAAGCTTCGACATGTGTGTGTTTGTGTGCGTCTTTTCTCTTAGCCTTTCTCTGGTGACTTTTCTATTGACTACACATTAACATCCCACCCCCCACCCCCCATGAATAATTGCAATCTCCTAGTGCTAGTCTTCAAGTCCATCTCCACTTTCCCATTCTGCCCATATCTTCCCCACATTTGGCTGACATGGATGGCCCAGCTGCCATAGGGATTCTCGCCACCTCTTTGTTGCACTCCATCGGTAATTTTCTGTATCCCTTTATGGTATACTTCCTTGTTTTGCTAGCTGTCATCCTGTAGCTCCTAGAGACTTAGTAGTAGCCAATATTTTGAAAATCATGTGTCTAAAAATATCTGTATGTGAAGTTAGAGACTCTGGGGTACTCAGCATTGGAAAGTCGGCCCATTCGTGTTATATGACTGCTGCACAGAGAAGAAAACATCACACACTCTGGCACGTCCTTCACAGAGTATCAGACAACAAAGAATCAGATCAGCGCTGATAGAACTCTCATTTTAAAATGGCGACCCTATTCCAATAGCTGGGAGCTTTGCTGTATTGGGGACACTATGGACTTCAGGTGAATTTTGCTTCTAGGTAACTTAGCTTGAGACAAGAGGCAGAAACCTGGGGCTATGAATGGAGCTCAGTGGGAGGGCATTAGCATAAACAAACAGGAAACCCTGGGGGTCCATCCCCCATACTAGAAAGTGAATAGAGAAAACTGAATATAGCTACTTAAAAATCCATCATCAGAATCTGGTGTGAGGGCACACACTCGGAGTCCCAGCCAGACTTTGAACTTCTCTTCCTTTTGCCTCCATCTTCTTAGTCAAAGAATTACAGCTAAATAAGAAGGTGAACCCAAAGAAAAACATATATTTATCCTCCTGGAAATTGGAAGTCGACAAGATCGCCGGGCAAAACTTGGGAGCATGGGGGTGGGGGTGGGGGTGGGGTGGGAAGAAGGGGAGATGAGGAGAAAGGAGAGAGAAGGGAGAAAGGGAGGACTGGGGAGAGCTTGAGGGAACAGGATGGTTGAGATGGAGGAAGGGTGGATATGGGAGCAGGGCAGAAGATATCTTAATTAAGGGAGCCATTTTAGGGTTGGCAAGAGACTTGGCTCTAGAGGGGTTCCCAGGTGTCCAAGGAGATGTCCCCAGCTAGGTCCTTGGGCAGCAGAGGAGAGGATACCTGAACTGGCCTTCTCCCATAGCCATACTGATGAATATCTTGCTTATCACCATAGAACCTTTATCTGGCGAAGATTGGAGATAGAGACAGAGACCCACATTGGAGCACTTGACTGAGCTACCAAGGTCCAGATGAAGAGCAGAAGGAGGGAGAAGATAAGCAAGGAAGTCAGGACTGCGAGGGGTTGGTCAACCCACTGAGACAGTGTGCCTGATATAATGGGAGCTCACCAAAGCCAGCTGGACTGGGACTGAATGAGCATGTGATCAAACGGGACTCTCTGAATGTGGCTGACAATGGGGGCTGACTGAGAAGCCAATGATAATGGCACTGGGTTTTGATTCTACAGCATGTACTGGCTTTTTGGGAGCCTAGTCTGTTTGGATGCTCACCTTCCTAGACCTGGATGGAGGGGGAGAAGGTCTTGGACTTCCCACAGGGCAGGGCACCCTGACTTCTCTTAGGACTGGAGAGGGAGGGGGAGTGGGGGGAGTGGGAGGGAAATGGGAGGAGGTGGAAATTTTTAATAAATAAATAAATTTTAAAAAAGTAATAAAAAAAAATGAAAAACCTCATGGAGATCACCCCTTGTCCTTCTCCTTCTTGCTACTTTTTTGTGCAAAGGAATAAAGAACACGTAGCAGTAAAAAAAAAAAAAAGAATTACAGGCATGTGCCACCATGCTGGGCTCTGAAAATGGGTTTTAATATTCGATCCCACTCCTGCATAAGGCTCTCTGTTATGGATGTTGACAGTACACTGTAAATCCAGGATGAAAAGAACAGAAAGAAACTGAAATCTATCTCCTTATTTTGAGTGCTAAAGAATGAATACAATGCTTGGGCTAACGAGGTGGCTTAGCAGATAAAAGCAGATGCTTGCTGCACAAGCCTGAGAACCTGTGTTCAGTCCCTGGAATCCACAGAAGAAGCTGGATGTACCAACTATTGGATTCACACAATTACATCAAGTAGAAGGATAATTTAATTGGGCATGTATCTGCAACCCCAGAACTCCTACAATAGGGTACAAGGCTTGGGCAGGACAAACAGCCTCGAGTTTGGGAGTCAGCTAGTCTGAAGCCTGCAGCAGGGCAGAAACACCCAAAAGCTTGGCGGCTCGCCTGGAGAACATAGCATTGCAGGAAGGAGAAAAATCCTACTTCTACAAGCGCAAGGAGAGAGCTGATTCCCAAGTTGTCCTCTGACGTCTACGTGTGTCGTAGCGTTCATGTGCACATACGTACAAATAACTTACGTAGCACAATTACATCAAGTATTGGGCTGATTTAATTTGGAAAGCAAGTATTGCATAGTTCAGGGCTGACAAAATACAGCACACAGCCTCTTTTTGTATAGCCCCCTCCCCACCCAATAAGAATGGTGTGGTAGTCCCAGTAATGAATACCCCCCATCTATACCCTAATCCTTTGAATATGTTACATTATATGGCAAGGGGGATGTATACATTCAGATGGAATCAAGCCTGCCAATCAATTGATCGATCATAAACCAGGATGGTCAGACATAACCATTTAAATTTGTCCCATGGGAGCCGGGTGGTGGTGGCGCACGCCTTTAATCCCAGCACTCAGGAGGCAGAGGCAGGCGGATCTCTGTGAGTTCGAGACCAGCCTGGTCTACAAGAGCTAGTTCCAGGACAGGCTCCAAAGCCACAGAGAAACCCTGTCTCGAAAAACCAAAAAAAAAAAAAAAAAAAATGGAAAAGGGGACTGGGACTCCAGCTTGTCCAATATGTAGGAAGTTTTGAGTTTGATCCCTATCAGTCTATCAGTAGGGAACAACCAGGTATGGTGACACCCACCTGTGGTTCTGATACTTGGCAGGTGGAGACAGGAAGATCTGAAGTCCAAGGTCATCATCAGCCATACTCAGAGTTCAAGGCTAGCCTAGGCTACCTGAGTGAGACTGCCTGTAAGCAAAAGACTAGAAAGCTGGAAAAGGCAAGGGCATAGAGTTCTCCATGAAGCTTCGGGAGGAAAGGCAGCCCCTGCTGACCTATACGGCACTTGTTCTGTATAGGTATAGATATGTAACGCAGCAGTAACACGGACGGCATGTGGCTGGCAATGCCTAAAATATTTATGATCGGGCTCTTTATGGAAAGTTTCCCAACTCCTGATCTTATGACTGCTTATCCCCGCAAGATCACATTCTTTGGCCTGCCTTTCCTCACCAAGGAACTGCAATCTTCCTATGACTAGCAGTCCAGGGGAGCACAGGAAACACCATGGTAACATTTCTTCCAAGTCAGTTCTGCTTCTCCTTATAAAGGAGACATCCCTACCGCAATTTGTGGTGTCCGTCTTTAATAGGCTGCGTGGATCAGCTCAAGGACAAGAGACCCTCAGACAAGAAGACTGAAGCAATGCTGAGTGGCTAGGGCAACGTAAAAGATGGCTGCATATTTGATAACACTTATCTCTATTGTGGCATAGGATCTAAGTCTCTTCCCTAGACTCTTGATCTCTTCCCTAAGAGGGTTTTGACCAATACAAAGTTCTAGAAGTGATGATATGCCAGCTTCTAAGCTCAGGCCTTAACAGACTAATACTTAACTACTTCCTGTCTTTTGAAACACTCCCTCTTGGAAAACTGCTTCTATGCTAGAAGGCAACCCAAGCAGCCCTGTGAAGTGGTTCTTAGCCAAGCATCCAGGCGAAAGCTAGCCAAACTTATCAGCCACATGAGTGAGCTATCTTCAAAACTGGGTCTGGAGGTCCCACTACCCACCCTAGCTGACAACAGTGCAAACAGAAATAAGCCTTCCTTGCTTTGACCTATACACATTTTGGGGCTGGGAGCCCCATAAACAGATTGTTTAAAGCCATCGAGTTCTGGGTGACCTGGCAAATGGCAGTCACCAGAATACTGGGTCCCCCGGCACAGCAGTAAATTAACCAGGGTAAAACCCTACAAGAGACCTGGGATGCCATTATGAACAGTGCCCTGCAAGTTATGGAGGGTTCACTGGGGTGAGAAGAGAAGCTGGAATATACTGCTCCCTGAAAAATGGAAAGAATTTGGAGAAGGTAAAAGTGGAAGCATGCCTGTCTCATGAACTAGCAGTTGAGAAAACTAGGAACCAAGGCGCTGAGGGCTAGGGTGCAGCATCCGGACTTCTCCTCACTACACAAGAGACACTGAGGAAACAGGACCTTACATAAACTGAATCCACTTTTTCTTGTTTCTGCTCTTTGTTTTCTCATTTCTACAGCCAAACAGGAACAGCCAATTTGAGGACTATATGTAAAAATCAACCTCTGTCCCCGTGTAGCGCACAAGAAAAGTTAGCACATTAGCCCTGCAAACTCTTTGAGGCGACAGAAATGTGAGCTGTAGCTAGATGCTGTGCGTGTTGGCACTCCCAGCAAGCACTGGGGAGGTGAAGGCAGGAGGATCATGATTTCAGGGCTAGACTTAGTGACACAGTGAGCTTTGGAACAGGCTAGACTACATGAGATCCTGACTCAAAGGAAGGAAAAGCAAACAAAACAAAATCCCAACCCAATTAGCAAAACACAAGAAACATAACACGGGCCTGAGGAGTCTTGACCATCTTACGATCTCTAATGGTCAAACGTGGGTAAAAGAGGACCCAAACTAAATAAAAACAAGTCTGCTTTCTATTTCAAATAAGTGTATGAATAATTACTCTTGAAGATCCCAGTGAGTTTCACCCAACAGCCCATATAGGACTGGTAGCAGAAATCCAATACTAACCGAGCAATGAATTCATCTAGATTAGCTATGCTCTGCAGCAAAGGATAGCGCTGCCCTGGGAAAATAAGGAAGAGTTGCTTTACTTACTTTCAAAACCCACTCAGCCCAGAAATGTCTCCTCTATTTACATGACAACACCTTCTGAACAAAGACTCTTATTCTATTAGAGTTCCCAGAGCTGCTGAAACTTGGACGGGACTGAGAAAATCCTGCAATATTCAAACCTAGCTCAATTCACCAAAGTCCTAGAGAACCCTCCAGATATTAAACTCTTTGTACAAAGGGAGCTGTGGATGTAGCTCAGCAGTTGTCTTCTTGCCCAGCATCCACAAGGACCTGGGATCCATCCTCAGTACTGAAAAACAACCAACCAACAAAGGCAAAGTGTTTTATATTTAGCTAAGCAGGTCTCAAATCTCCTAGGTAGCCAAGGATGCTCTTGAATTCCCGCTTCTCTTGCTTCTTCCACCCAAGTGCTGGGATTGTAGTGTATGCTACCACATCCTGTTTTGATGTGGTACAGGGAACCAAATCCAGGGCTTCATGCATACTTGGCAAGCAACTCTACCAACTGAGCTACATCCTCAAGTCCAAAGGGGCATTCTTAGGCTGAACTGTCTACAGGGCAACACCACCAGCTGTCCAGAGTTCCTCCTATTCTCATGCAAGGGATGTAAATGGAGTTTACCACCTGGGAAAGGTCACACGGGATGCATAGAGCCTTTAGAGAAATAATCTTTGTCATTGATATTCATCTAACTCTTAGCTGGGTTTGGTGAGACTCATATACTTGTAATTCTAATACTTGGGAGGTGTGTGGGGGGGTTTCTCCTGTGAGTTTGAGGCCTGCTAGGGCAACACACTCAATTCAATACAATCCTACATACCACAGACAAATCCTGTCTCAGAAAACCAAAAATAAAACAACAAAAAGGAAAAAAATGCCCTTAATTTCACAAATTCTCGATTGACTCAAAGTCATCAAGATTTTCTGATTTCTTCTGGAAATTTCAAAGTTCTAGATTTGAGATTTCTGTCTACGATTCATTTCAAGTTAATTTTTGTAAATACGAAGAATGGTCTTTCTCTATATGTTTTTTTTTTCCGTAAACTTGTTGGATGAAATGCAACTTTGCCAAGTGTACAACGGGTTATCTGTCACTGTATAGTTGGTTAACTGAACTAAACAGAAGGAGGAAAAGAAATTGGCCTCGGGCAAGTGGGACAAGGAGCCCCCAGTTCAACTTCGGAGGAGGGCTACCGTCTGCCTGATTGCACTGAATACTGGTGACCACCTCTTGCTCACGTGAGAAAGGGGTGTAATTTTTGCCAGACTGGCTGTGCGCAGCTGAGGTCCATAAACACAAAGAACCTATTAGTTCGCAACATTCGTTGCAGCAGAGTTAAAGGAAGCCCAGGGGCTTTCAACACGTGCGTCCTATGTTCTCAGGCTCTTTCCAACTCCCACACAAACGCACCCTTCTGGATAAGACGGCTCAACACCTAGGCTACTCGGAAGAGTCACCTGAGCAGCTGGCAGCACTCTGATCGCCAGCCGCTGGAAGAAGCGTTCGAAAGTTCCCCAGGTAAACCCAGTGCCGGGGACCTGTGCAGAACCTTTTCGACCACGCTCTAGTCTGGGGTGCCGTCTGGCAGAGACTCGGAAACTGGGGCGGGCAGATCCACAGATGTCTCCCTGCCCCCACCATTCCCGGCACTGATGTGATGCCCACACGCTGCGCCCACTCTCAGATGCTCTGTGACTGCACCGATGTCGCCCTTCCGGACTGAGAATACCAGGCTAGGCGGCGCAAAAGAGGGGCCTGGGGTGCCTAGGGGACGACTGGTCGCCAAAGTCCGGGTGCTGGAGGTCTGGCCACTAGAGGGACAACAGCGCGCAAAGACTCCAGGGTGGCGGGGTGTGTGTGAGGGGGTGGAAGGGGGGGCTCCCTGGCTGGACTTCTTTTTCCCCGGGCGCAGACGCGGTGGCACTGAAGCCGCGTTGCTGCCGTCCCGCCCCGGAAGGGAGAGCACAGCGCCCTCGGAGGTGCCCCGGGCATGCGTTGGCTCCTGCCTCAGCCCTGGTGTGACTCCCACCTGGTCTCCTGGTTGCTGAACTTCTTGGTGACCACCTTGCCCAGCTCCAGGCCCAGGCGATCGGCCACGCGCTGCGACAGGTCCTGGTGAGAGCTCCCGCTGAAGAGCACGATGTTGGGCATGGTGACGCTCCGGGGGTGAGGGGCGCTCTGTGAAGGAGAAAGCAACAGCGACACAGACTGCTACTGCTGCTGCCCCTGCTACTGCCGCTGCCCCTATTGCTGCTACTTGCCGCTGCCGCTGTTGCTGCTGCGGTGCCCAAGGCTGCTGGTGGAGCGGGGGAAAAAGCGGCGGGACCTAGGGGAGGGGAGGAGCTGGGGGAGGAACCAGAGAGAGGGGAGGAGCAACGGACTAGTCACTGGAGGGTGCTGGGAAGTGGCCTCTGCCCAAGCAGGCTGGGCAGCAGGTTGTGAAGCTCTGGGTGGTCCAGAATCTCCTAGGTGCGGTTGCTCCGTCGGGGAGGTCGATGCTTCACACCTGACCTCTCTGACTTGCCTCTAAGTGAAGAGGTCAATGAACCAGACGAAGTGGGCACATAGAGCCAGCGACTGCAGGAAGGGACCATGGGGTGCCTCACATCAAAAGCCACCTTTCAACCCGGAAACTCAGAACCCAGGGGTGATACATCCAGTGTCCATGTGGGAGAGACCCACAGAGCGGCTCTGCATTTGCACCCAAGAATGAAGCGTGTTTCACTTTCTGTGATGGTATACACTACCTCTGAAGCTTGACTTGCAGAAAGGTTTTCCCACCAGCGACAATTCCTTTCTCTCATTGATTTAGATATGTATATTTTGTTTTCGATTTTTCAATAATAGCTGAAAACTCGTTTCCTTCCTTGTTATATAAATGCCTACGCAGTATCTTTTCTTTTGCCTCTTGGTCCACAAAGCCTGGAAATTTTAGCGTCTAGTTCTTGATAAATCAGGTGTGATGCTCCTTAAAGGAGCCATTGATGTGAGCCACCATTTGATCCCCAAGCCCATTGACTCTACCCAATGGGCTTGCAGTGACTTTTATGTAGATAGGCTGGTCCCCTGGCTCCCTTCACAGCACCTTCTCTTTGATTCTCTTGAGCCTGCCTCCTCCAGGATACCTCTGCTTCCGCTGATCCCAGACCTCAGCTTTTCTGAGGAAGTTAATCCGGTATCGGAGCCAAACAATGTGCACAAGCGAAATATCAGTAAAGAGATTTAGCTTGAGCTCGTGGAGGAGTGGGGGCACTGGTGATCCTAGTGACATTTTTTTTTAAAGAAAAAAAGCCTTGAGAGACAGATTAAACTTGTCAGATAAATGGTTGGGCTCTGCTAATGTTCACCAAGAATCGGCTTGCCATCCACAGCCAAGGCCACTTGCAGCTGAATTCTAACCCACTCTAAAGGTACTTCCTGTGTTACTTGGATTAGGAAGAGATTGTTCATATCCTCGAGCTTTTTTTCATTTGGGTCCTTCCTTGTATTTTGCAAATTGGACGGCAACCGTAGTGATGGAAGCCTTTAATCTCAGTACTCTGGAGGCAGATATGGGTGGAGCTCGGTGAGTTCAAGGCCAATTTGGTCTAGTGGAACCCTGTTTGTCAATGCTCTAAACCCAAGCAAATTGGATTTACCAAAGGGTTTCTTTTCAAACTCCAATGAGCTGATTAACAAAACGTTTTCCAAAGCACCATTCCAGTTGAATTTCTGCCCCCTTTCATTCTGCTTACAAAGGTGTATATATCCTAATGAGTTTTTTCTTACTTTATATTTTTATTGATTTTATTAAGCTATACATTTTTTTCTCTGCTCCCCTCCCTTTCTTTACCCTCTCCTTCAACCCTCTCCCATGGTCCCCATGCTTCCAATTTACTCAGAAGATCTTATCTTTTTCTACTTCCCATGCAGATTAGATCCGTGTATATCTCTCTTAAGGTCCTCAGTGTTGTCTAGGTTCTCTGGGGTTGTGATTAGTAGGCTGGCTTTCTTTGCTTTATGTCTAAAAGACATTTATGAGTGAGTATATATTATATTTGTCTTTCTGGGTCTCGGTTACCTCACTCAATATGATGTTTTCTAGATCCATCCATTTGCCTGCAAATTTCAAGCTGTCATTTTTTTCTTCAGTGCAGTGCTCCATTGTATAAATGTACCACATTTTCCTTATCCATTCTTCAGTTGAGAGGTATTTAGGTTGTTTCCAGGCACTGTCTATGATAAACAATGCTGCTATGAACATAGTTGGGCACATGTCCTTGTGGCACAATTGAGCATCCTTTGGATATATACCCAAAAGTGGTATTGCTGGGTTTTGAGGAGGTTGTTCCCTAATTTTCTGAGAAATCACCACACTGACATCCAAAGGCCTGTACCGTCTTGCACTCTCACCAGCAATGAAGGAGTGTTCCCTTTACCCCACAAATTCTCCAACATAAGTTGTCATCAGTATTTTTGATCTTGGCCATTCTTACAGGTGTAAGATGGAATCTTAGAGTTGTTTTGATTTGTATTTCTCTAATGGCTAAGGATGTTGAGCATTTCCTTAAGTGTTTTTTAGCCATTTTAGATTCCTCTGTTGAGAGTTCTCTGTTTAGGTCTGTACACCATTTTTTATTGGATTATTTGTTCTTTTAATGGCCAATTTCTTGAGTTCTTTGTGTATTTTGGAGATCAGCCCTCTGTCCAATGTGGGGTTGGTGAAGATCTCCCATTCTGTAGGCTGTCATTTTGTCTTGTTGACCTTGTCCATTGCTTTGCAGAAGCTTTTCAGTTTCAGGAGGTCCCATTTATTAATTGTTTCTCTCAGTGTCTGTGCTGCTGGGAATATATTTAGAAAGTGGTTTCCTGTGCCAATGTGTTCAAGTGTACTTCCCACTTTCTCTTCTATAAGGTTCAGTGTGGCTGGCTTTATGTTGAGGTCTTTGATCCTTTTGGACTTGAGTTTTGTGTATGGGGATAGATATGGGTCTATTTTCATTCTTCTACATGTTGATATCCAGTTATGCCAGCACCACTTGTTAAATATACTTTCTTTTCTCCACTATAAATATTTTGCTTCTTTGTCAAAAATCAAGTGTTTATAGATTTGTGGATTGATATGTGGGTCTTTGTTTAATTTCCATTGGTCCTCCTGTCTGTTTTTATGTCAGTACTAGTCTGTTTTCAGTACTGTAGCTTCCAGAAGTTCTTTTATTATACAGGATTGTTTTGACTTTCCTGGTTTTTTTTGTTTTGATTTTCTTTGTTTTGTTGTTTGCTTTTCCATATGAAGTTAAATACTGTTATTTCAAGGTCTGTGAAGAATTTTCCTGTGATTTTTGACTGAAATCAGGAACAAGACAAGGTTGTCCACTCTCTCCATATCTATACAATATAGTTCTTGAGGTCCTAGCTAGAGCATTAAGAGAACAAAAGGAGATCAAAAGGATACAAATCAGAAAAGAAGAAGCCAAACTCTATTTGCTGATGATATGATAATTTACATAAGTGACCCCAAAAATTCTATCAAGAAACTTTTACAACTTATAAACAATTTCAGTAATGTAGTAGCTCAAAAAAGCAGTAGCCCTCCTGTACACAGATGATAAATTGGCTGATAAAGAAATCAGAGAAACATCACCCTTCACAATAGCCACAAATAGCATTTTATGCTATTTTTATCTCAGAGTAACTCTAACCAAACAAGTAGAAGACTTGCATGACTAAATCTTTGAAGAGAGAAATTGAAGAAGACACCAGAAAGTGGAAAGATCTCCCATGCTCTTGGGTAGGTAGAATTAACATAGTAAAAATGGCAATCTTACTAATGATTTTTTTTTAAAGTCAAGGAGATGATGATGTAAATAATCTCCTCAGTTAGGAGGTTGAGATGGGGATCAAGAATCCCAGGCTAGCCTGTGCTACATAGTGAGACTTTGTCTCAAAAACAACTCCAGCAACAACAATCTACCTCCAGTGGGTTTTCAGCTACACCCAGTCATGTGTTGCATAAAGATTCAGATGACAAACCACACCATCAAGAATATATTGTTTAATGTTGTTACACTGTCTTGGTTCATTTATGTGCACTCTACAATCCTTGCAGGAGCATGAATTCACCTCATGATGTATTTCTCAAAACATACCGCATGGTAAGTGGCATATGACTGTATCTCATAATTAAATTTGCATAATAAATTACCATAGAGATGAGATTTATACTCATACCCAACCGATGTCTAAAAATTTTATTGAATGAATCTGCTACCATAATTATGCTTAAACTCATCTAATAAAATTTACTAGCAGTAATGTTACTGTAATTTTTTCTGTCCTTAAATATTTGTCTCATAGATGAAATTTATTAATCATGACATTTCTCTAAGTATATACATGCTTTTATTAGGGGGAAAGAAGTTGCTGATCTGTGTGGGGTCCTAGGATTCTTTGATAACAAAACCAATGAAGCATAAAATAATATTTTAAAGTTCCTGATCTCTAGGTTAATTCTAGATGAGATTCTAGAAGCTAAGATTAAATGTGACCTTGATAGTAGCATGAGATGAAATCTCTGTGGCGGCACGACAAGGAAAATGCTTGTTGAGGGACATTACTTGAGTATTGAGTCTACAAGGGGCAAACTGCACTTACAATTGATGAGGATCCCAATGGGAGTCAGCAAAAATTAATCCTAAGAAGGAGGCTTGCACCAAGCTATCACTGAGAAATAAACAAGCTTCAGAAAGCAGCTATAGATTTTGGGTGAACGCTTTCTCTCCCAAGCACCTTTTTTCTTTGATCCACAGGAGACAGATTGTGGAAAACCCTTATCTACAACTGTCTCTCAAGTTTAGCACAACTGATAAACTGGGTGATTCTTTGTTGTGGGGCTCCCCTCAATATATAGGATACTCAGAAACTCCCGCCCTGGTTTCAACCCATAAGAAACCAGTAGTCCTTCTCCACTTGTTGTGACTACCAAAAGTGTCTCCAGGCACAATTAACTATCTCCTGGCCAGGCAAAATGACCCTGGCCCTTTCCTCCTCCATGCAGACTTTTTCTGGTGGTCATTGAGGCTCCCCCACATCGTAGCTTGAGAGTTCCAAAAAAAGAATCTTCCAAAAAGACAAACCTCAATGATAAATAAATACATGAACAGAAACGTAGTGAAATTCATCTTGTACTCTCCTAACAAACTAATTAAAAACAAGAAATGCCTGGTGAGCAAACACCAACACTCTGCTTGTATCTTGCTTGCTAGTATCCTGCTGCCCAAAGCAAGTCACATGGTCAAGATCAGAGTCAATGTGCCATGGATGAATGAGAGAGTTGCACCTTATGT